TTTTAATTCTTGTTCAAGCTAGAAGGTAGGGTTTTCACTCTGTAGACCAAGCTTTTAAGCATATATTGTCTGAATTTAGAGCCTATATTAGAGAGATGTTTCTTTTTTCTTTAAGCAATTTGCTTATTTTGCTTCTTTCATATAGTGCCTATATTGAGTTTGAGGTAAAAAGTTTTATCCAAACAGAAATTAAACATACATCTAATATATCTTTAATAATTGGGGCTTGAAGTCCTGCCAAGTCTATAGGTTGTTGAAAAGTTAAATATCTGGAAGCATTTATAAAGAACCTTTGATCTAAAAGAAGATGATTCTATTTATTTCTGTCACTTGCTTTCTGTTAGGAGATAGCAGATAAGCTGAGTACCAAATTTTAGATAGAATAAGTAAATTTGTGATAAGAATTTTTTTTTTAAAGAAGAGATTTCTATTTGAGAGTTTGTCAAGGGATTCTTTTAGCTTATTAATAGTTGTAGCCCAAAGATCTTTTTTTGGTTGATCATTTATAAGAACATTGTAATCTAAGATAGTAATAGTATCTTGTTTCTCTAATTTAATAAATTAATCTTCATTACAGAGCTCTATTCTTTATATAGTAGGAGTAAGTAAGACTAGTTTTGTTTTTGTTTTATTGATTTTTGTATTTGAAGCAGTCTCATATAAGCTTATCGAAGCTTGTATTTTGTTCCAGTCAGAAGAAGATTCAATTCTTACAGTCAAGTCATCCATGTATGCTGAGGTTTTGAAATATTGATTTTCTAATTTAATTCCTTGTATTTATCTTTCCAAAGTTCTTATAAGAGGCTTAAAAGCTAATAAATATAACAGTGATGAAAAAGGATCATCTTGTCTAACTTCTCTTTTAATTCTGAATGGTTTAGAGATATTGCCTGCCTTGATAATATAAGCTTCTTAGGAGAAAAAAAAATTATGAACTAGATTAATAAATTTAGTGTCAAAGTTCATATTTTCTAAAGTAAGCTTTAAAAAGTCATGACTGATTTGGTCAAAGGCTTTTTGTTGATTAATGAAAAGTAGCCAATGCTGTTTAGATAAGTTTGGCTAGTTTCTCATAGTTGTAATTATATTCAGTATTGCATCTGTAATAGATCTGTTTTGAATAAATTCATGCTGCTAATGTGGTATAAGTTCTTCATAAATAGAATTTAGTTGATTAGCTATAATCTTTATGAATATTTTTGTATTACTGTTTACTAAAAATATCAGTTTTTAATTATTTATATTTTTTAAATCTGTTGATTTTTTAGGTATTAGAGAAATTAGACTCTTGCATCAAAAGGTTGACATGATTCCTGAGTTTAGTGCTTAATTGAATACTTTATATAAGATAGGAGTTATGGTCTCTTTGGTGAGTTTGTAGAACTCATATGTTAGACTATTAGTATCTGGAGTTTTGTTAGTTGGAAGGTTTTTAATAACATTGCTGATTTCTTCTTGAGTAATTTCTTGGATAAGTATTGAGTTGTGAGCTAATAAGGCTTGAGGCAGATTTTCTGTAATCTTTTTGACTAAGTCAATATTTATATCTTCTTTATTATAGATTTTGGCATATGTATCTCTAATATATTGAAGGGTATTTTTATATAATTGTGATGAGATCTTAAGATCCTTAATGTTCTTTAATGATGAATAAGCTTTTCTGATTTTATATCTAGTAAAAAAGTATTTTGTAGATTTTTCTCTTGCTTAATCCATTGTGCTTTTGAGCATACTTGCCATTTTTCTGTAAAATATAATAGTTCATCTTGAAGGTTTAGACTTAGTCTATCTATCTGATTATATAGAAAAGAATTTTCTGAGTTGTGAGCTAGTCATTCCTTCAACTGAGTTATATTTTTATTTAGCTTTGTGATCTTGTTTTCGGTAGCTTTTGGCTTTCTAAATGCTTTTATAATAGATTGAATATGGACTTTACAGAAGTCCTATTTATTAGCTTCTTCAAATTCTGTGATTTTTTTTAGTACTTTTTTTTTTAGTTTTTCATTTAAGAAGCAGCTTTTGTTAAATCTCCAGAGAGCTGACTTCCTTCTTTTGGCTTTAAAGAAAAAAGTGCATTCTACCAGAAGATGATCTAAATTGCCAAACTTAGTATTAATTTGTAAGATGAGGTGTGCATTATTTTCATTAATAAATATATAATCTAAATGTATAGTCATAGTCTGATTGCTCTGTGTTTTTTGAAAAAATGTATGAAAAGGTTTCGATTTGGCAAAATCTGAGGTATTTGTAAAGTTTTTAGTAAGACTTAGAAGTTGCAATCTTGTTGGATCTCGTTGAGGTACTGCTTTATTAGTTTTATCCTTTTTAGAATATAAGTTGGTATTGAAGTTACCTTCGATTATGTTGATAGCATTTTCATTGACTTGTAGTGACCATTTTTTGAAGAAGAGTTTTCTATTGTTTGGATTAAGAGGCATGTATATATTAGATATTTGGAATGTAAAATCTTTGAATTTGAAAATAGTAGTAATAATTCTATTGTCTAAATCTATTTTTGTGTTTTTAAATATTATATTTTTGTTGTCTGTAAGTATAGCTGTCTTGTTTAACCAGATTGAATTGAAAATTTACTGATTTTTAAAAAAGCTCTATGTGTTTTTGTCATTTAAGTTTGTTTCTTGTAATATAATAAGATCTAGTTTGTAAGATTTTAGAAGAGTTAAAGTGTTTCATTGTTTTTGTTGATTGTTAAGCCCCTTTATATTAAGGCTTGCAATTTTAAATTTAAATTGTTCAGTCATATTAAAGCAAAGTAGTACAGATTTCAGATCTGTAGATTCTGTGCTCCATTATAAGATTTCTTGTACAGAGCAGATCTGATTATTTCACTTTTCTGATTTATGAGGTCTTTTTTACTTTTTTTGTTCTTTTTTTTCCTTTGTGGAATTAAATTAATACCATTATCTGAATTCTCTAATAGAAATTGTAACTTGTTGTTATTTGTAATTAGCACAACTGGAGTGCTTAGAGCTTTTGGTTTTTTAATTTTTATAGAAGAGCCTGTGGCTAGATTTTCTATAGCAGAAGTATCATTCTTAATGCTGTTCATAACTTCATCAACTGAACTATTAAGATCTTTTTCTGCTAGTATGGTACTGTTTATTTCATCACTTTCTTGGCTGTTAGCTATGTTTAGTGAGGTTTCTTCTTATTGAAGTTCTTCAATATCTATTTTTTTTGAAAGCTTGTTTTGTTCTTGCTAAATTGTATTTAAATTTTCTAAATCTACTAATGGAAGCTTTTTTTTTCTTTTGTTAGAAAGAAATTCTTTGTATTGATGATGAAGTTCAATAGCTTCCTTGTACTGATTACAATCTTTTTTAATATGTTTTTTATTGTCACAAAAGTAGCAAAGTTTAGAAGCCATGCACCATTCTGTGGTAATCTTGTTGTCAAGCAAAATATAAAACTAAGAAATTCTTTTTTCTAAATTTGAGTCTTCTGTAGTCTCAAAAGTAATGATCTACTGGTCAATTAGATAAGATGTGCCTTCTATTAACAATGGCTTAATTGAGGCAATTTTATCAAAGTTCTTAAAAGCATTTTTGATTCTTTTAGAAATAAACTTCTTGTCAGCTAAGAAAACATTTCTGATCTTGACTGGCAAAAAAGATCTTCTAGAATCAACCAGAATATGTTCATAGTATGTACAATTATAAATTTCAACCCCTTTTGTAACATAGTATTTGAGCTTTTTCTCATTAGTAAAGATTAGCTCTAAATGAGTATGAGATCCTCTGTTTATATATAGCTTAGCAGCAATTATGTCACGTTCTGTTGTCTCATAAAGAGAAACTATAATTTCATTTAATGAACTATTGAGGTTATAAATATCTAATATAAGTGCATTATCATTTTTAGATCTTATGTTGTTTCTTGATAAGAATGAAAAGAAGGTTGATTGCCCTCTCTTGACTTTTGCAAATAAACTTGACTATAATTTACTTAAGATCTCTTTGTTTTTGTTTATATTAGTTATATTAGTTTTTGCAAAAGACATGTTGTTTTGTTCTATATAAGATGTTGTTGTTTTGTTTTCTTTGTTATTTTCTTTTTTGAGACATGTCTTAGAGCTAAACATAACTAAGTTGCTATTTTGATCATTTTTTTCTTTGAGAAGTCTTTTTTCATTTTCTAATATAACTTGTTCATCCTAGCTAATACTATCTAAGAAGTCATCTTGCATAGAGACAGTTAAATCATTATAGGTGATTTCTGTTGCCATAGTACTATTTTCAAGAAAAAAGTTAGTTTCTATTTTTGTTAGTTGTTTTTTAGACAAAAAGCTTGTTGCCAGTTTAGTTTTCTTATTTTTGTAGACTTCAAAGATAAAAGTCTTGTGTTTTCTGAAAACAAGAAAGAGAGCTTCTATTTTGCTACTGTTTTTAAAGTTAGTAAAGCCCTGAGTAAAGTTTATTTTGTCTTTTCAAAATTACCCTCTTTTCTAAATATGATAGTCAGGAAAGAGAGATCATCAATCTTGTTCTTAATAAGTTTAATATTAATTATCAAAAGATTTTTTCTATCACTGCAGATAACAGAGTAAATGTTAAGTCTGCTATACAACAAATGAGTATTACTAATGTTAAGTGCACTAAGCATACATTACAATTAAGTATAAATTTAGAGCTAAAGCAAGTTAATAAGCTTATTTTAAAGTACAAATTACTAGTTTCTATTTTGTCAAAAAAAAAAAAAAAAAGCAACTTCATAAAGCTTAGTTGCAAATTACTTTGGAACTAAAAAAACCACTAGATGTTATTAAAGATATAAATATTAAATAGAACTTTACCTTTTATTCTATTGAATGTCTTGTGTATTTAAGATCTGCTATTATGCAATTATACTTAACCTTTAACAATTATACTCTTAGGAAGGTTAGAAAAGAAGTAGAAACAATAAGTTCTTTTCTTTTTTCAAAAGAAGAGTTTGAAGTATTAAGAGAACTCATTGTAATCTTTTTCTTTTTCAATAAAATAATGAAATTCTTAAGTAGATCCAAATACTTAACACTTGGTTTTATGACTCCAATATTAGAAGAACTTACATGTCAGCTTAAGTACTTTACTAGACAAAATGATAAAGTAATCTTTGTTAAAGCACAATTTTGGATAATTTAATTGAAAGGTAGGAAGATCCAAATGAGGTTGGTCTGTGCTGCTCTTTTCTCAACCCACAGTTTAAGCAATTAAATTTCTGTACTAGTGATTTATGCTATGCAATGATTTAAATTATATGCTGTCAATTTAATGAAATGAATTCAACACAAACTACTAATGATAATACTGCACTAACTAACAATAATAATACAATCTCAATATTACATCAATATAAAAAACATAAAAAACCTAAAATAGCAGCATTTTTTTCTTATTCATAAACAGAAAATATTGCATTTGATGAATTTGATCATTATTATAAACTACTTAAAATTTTTTTTGAAAAAGAATCTTGTCTTTTGACTTGATGGCACCAATACAAAGCTCTATTTCCTACTTTGGTAATTTTAGCAAAATGATTTCTTGTGATGCCAACTTCTTTTATTCTATCTAAATATTTATTTTTTAATGTTGGCAATTATATAATAGATAAATATACCAGGCTAGATTCAGATCTATTAAAGCAATTGATATTTCTTAAAAAAAATATAAGTAACATTGATGTTTTTTTTATTTAAATATTTTTTTTACTTAAATGTTTTTTATATAAACATTTCTTATATATTGAATATTTTATTATGATATACTTAAATAAAAATTATATAACTATATTAATATCCTCACCGTTAATATTTAAAAAAAAAAAAAAACTATATTAATATCTTATAAGATTTATATTAAGTAGTATAATATAAGAATATTTTATTATTCACTTAAAATTCTATAAGTATTCTTGTTAAATGTACTTTCTATTTTAGTTTGGATAATCAATTATTATTTAAACTTCATTATACTTACAAACATTTTATCTTATATATAATTTAAGCAGTTAATTTTATGATATAAAAGACTATTCATTTATCTATTTAATTTTAAACATTATTTAACTGCTTTCATTTATTTGTTTTTTATGGACTTGGTGAATATAATAATTTGTTTGTTAAAATTTGCAATACACACTTACTAATACTTATTTTAAACAGTTCTTTTATGCTTTGGGCCTTTTAATTCATATTAGTTTGAATTTGGTATGTATTAAAATTATTATATTTGGGTTTCAGAAATAATAATTTAATATCTGATTTTAGATAAAATAGATGTTTTATTTCAAAACAAGTAATCTATGAATCATATTTTTTAAAATATATATTTGTTTATATAATCTTTTACTGAAAATATTTATTGAAAAAATCTATATTTATTATCTGAGTATTATTTAATTTTCTGATTTGAAATTTAAACAGAAAATATAATTTTTTTTAAACACCTACTTATTTTTGAAATAAGTTTATTCTGAAACTTCTATTATTCTACTTAGTGTTTGGTACAATCAAACAAAAATTTAATAGTTAAGTACTTGTAATTAAGTTGAACATTAAACAAGTGCAAGTTAATGAATACTACATTATATATATATATATATATATGTATATATAGTATTAGTTAATCTGTGATTTGTTTAATGTCAAACTTAATTACAAGTATTTGGCTATCAAATTTTTGTTTAATTGTGCTGAGCACTAATCTTACTTATTCTTTGTAAATTAATCTTATATTGTGCTTGCCCTTTATATAGCACTATTCAAATTATTTGATTTGTATTATATTAGTAGATACAAATTTAATCTGTTATTATGTTTAAAATCTTTAAATTAATTAATAATTTAATCTAAATTTCCATCTTAATAGTACTTTTTAGATTACTTAATTCACATTATAAGTGTAAATGCTAATTATATTTGGAATTTAAATAACCTATTCTTATAAGTTTTATAATTAAAAATGCCTTTTGGATTATTTAGCTCATATTAGTCTAATAAGTATAATAGTTATTATAATTATTTGATTAATGCTTTGATTTAAGCTTATTTTAGATTTATTTATTATTAAATAGTTATTTTCAGATCCTTTATTTAATTCACAAGTATTTGTGAGCACCTTTTATTTTACATTAAATTTTATTCTGTAAACTGTTTAAGATTTAGTTATAGGTATAATAATATTTATAATTTGTTTAAAGTTTTTTATCAATTAAGCTTATTTATTAACAACTTTTAAAATTGTTATATTTGCTTAATAGACAGTTAACTAAAGTTGTAATCCAAACCTTTTTTTAAAATTACAGTATTATTATTTAGTTTGGGTTTGGGAATCAGCATTTCTACTTAATTTAAGTTTATGACCAAAACCCAAATATATATCCTATTTCAGTAAATAGTATTAAACTTCAAACTACTAATTTATTAAATAAATTTATATACATTTGATGTACTATTAATTAAAACTTTAAATTATTCAAAATATTTAAGTTTTTTAATTAAATATAACTAGGTTCGAATATTAATAACTTGATAAACTTTTAAATTTTTTTTGTATATTATGTAAATAAATTTATTAAGTTAAAAAAAGTTGAATTTTTAAAAAAATTTATATTCAAGTTAATATTGTTACTAAAATATTATGTAGTTTTATTTTTTTGTTATACAACTAACCAACTAACCAATTAACCAACCAATCAACTTAACCAACTAATCAACTAACCAACTAATTGATTAAATTAGTTATATGATATATGTAACTGATTAGTTGCAACTATAGTTAGCAACTAACTGATTGATAAAATTTTGATCAACTTGAAACACTAGTTTGTATTACCTCATGCTGATTTGCATTCCTTTATGTAACTACAACATTGCACAGATGCCTCATGACCTGCCAGTCATGCTAGTATAACTGTGTTACAAGTTTCTTATTCTAACTAATTGACAAAATACTACTGTCATAATACTGTTTATATATTATATAGGTGATTATCCAAATTTTCATTATTAGTATGTTTTGAACTTACTACTTACTAATTGGAAAGTTGACAACTTATTCACTTTACTAAGTTATTACACCTTCTTTAAATTACTTATTAAAAGAATACTTTTATTTATTTTATTTTTTTTGATATTAAAATAAGGTCTTATTTGTTTTTTTTTAGTATTAAGATAACCTTTTTGGTCTTTTAACTTTTTATTAATGATATTTTTGGTAATGTAATTTAATGAACTACTACAAAAGAGCATACAATTAGCTATATATATAACTTTTCTATATTACCTATTTTTTTTTTTTTTCCTTAAGCAGTCATGCTAAGGCTTTATTAAGATTTTGGAATTACATTTGCAATTACATCAATATCCTTAACTACCAAGCCTAGCATCACCTAGTCACCCTAATGGTACCTAAGTGCAACCTGCTATATTATTTCAAGCAGAAGTAAGCTGCTTGTTTGACTACTTAAAATCCATAATAAAAGGGTCCTCTTCCTTTCATGACAAGCTCTAAAATTGTTTTCTGTACTTCTTTTCTGATTTGTTTTTCTTTTTCTTTTATTTTTTCTTTCTTTTCTTCTATAGCTTGCTGATTTGGTTTTTTTTTTTACTTAGTGCTTTTCTTTCTTTTTCTTTTTCTTTTCTTCTTTTTATTCTATCTGTTATACTTTTATTTTTCTTTTATTTATTAATCTTCTCATATCAAATTTTCTACACTTGTTTGTAAAATGTATCTTAGGCCATTCTTGCAATTATATTCATAAACTGCTGCCTTGATTTTGTGCTTAGGTTCTGCTTCAATTTGTCTTGTGTTTCTTTTGGAATAAGACTTTTAATTAGTGCTTTTCTTATTTTAATTTCCTTTGCTTCTGTCTTCCCAAAGAGCATCATATAAAATACATATGAAGGAATTTAAACTTTTTCTTCTTTCTTTAACTCCTTCTAAGCTGTTGCAATAGTTACTTTTTGGATTCTTTTTCACAGGTTTCTTTGTCCTTTACATGCTGCCAAATATGCCTGTGTTTCTTTTGTTTTATCTTAACAAACTTGGCATTCTGTCATTGTATATACCTCTGGTTTTCTTTTATTAAATTCTTTTAGGGTTGAAAGTTTATTTATTATGCATTTTATAAATGTACTTCTTTTGGCACTACCTTTTTTTGTTGTGCAGTGTACTTCTTTAGATATCTTCAGTCTATTTCAAAAGTATGTTCAATCATAAATCATAACTTCTGTTTCTGGTTCTAGGGCTCTAATTGCTTTTGTTTTTTTTTATTCTGCTTCTAACCTTGCATTCGTTATCAATTTGCATAACAGTCTTGCTAGTATATTAGTACATTTGTTTTTCCACTCTAAGCAGTACTCTATCTCTTCACAACTAACTTTTTTAACCTGTATTATCTCTTTACTCATTGCATCTTTTTTTGCTAGATTATTGGCTTTATCATTCTATCTATTTTTATTATAGCTCTTAACTTTAACAAACTCTATCTGAATGTTCTTTGTTCTAATCAACTTTCTAATTTTCATCACCTATATTGTGTTTTTCTTTTTAAGGATCTTATTTCTGCATACTTGTTTTAGACCTTTACTAATGTTTCTTATTGCTGCATTACTATCTGTATATATTTCTGCTTGCTTTTCTTTTAATATCATTAGAATTGCAACCCATATTGCTACTAATTCAGCTATTGTTAATGTTTGCCATCCTTTTAAACCTAATGCTAACTCTTCTTCAGGCCATTCTGCTGTCTCGTCTGTTTGCATTCATCCTATGCTTATATTATTTCTGCTTTCTGTGTCTTCTTTGATCTTCAGGTTTGTTGCTTTATCTGTATATATTATATACTTGTTCTTGTCTTTTATTATATTTCTTCTTAAGACTTCTACTATTTCTTGACTAATGCTGTCTTTTAACTTTTATCGCCTGATTATCTTTACTTTTGGCTCTTCTATTATTCTTAGTCTTTCAAGTTTCTGTTCTCTTATTTTTAGTTTATTTATCTTTATCATTTCTGTTATTTGGTCTATTGTTATTTTGATCTTATTGCTGTCTTTTTTTATCAATGCATCTGAAATCACATTGATTTTGTTATTTACTCTTATCTACTATTAACAGATATTTTTTTGGTGTTCTTCTTCTCTTGTACAACTCTTGCATTTGCTA